AAAAAAAAAAAAAATCACTGAAATTTCTCTCGTGTAACAAGAGGTTTTATAAAGTACCTCCCAGGATCTCAGAGGGAAAACCATTTCTATTCCCCAGGAACAGAAAGTTATGTTCTATGAAAATCGGTTTTAGCATTAAACTGAAAAATAAAAATGATCTGAAAATTGAAATGGCCAAATGTTAAGTGTTTGTTCTGTCACTGTGGGATAAGTCCAGTACTCATACAAATTGAAAGTGTTAATGAATAGAGTCCAGAACCTGAACCTTGAATCATTAAAACCAATTTTAGACCCAAAAACTTGCTACCAAAATTTGAGACAGCAGGATAGTTGCAAGTTTAAGGTTTATCAAAATTTGATGCTATTTTCCCTAAAAGGGGGTTGCCTCATCCAATCTCTAGTTTCTATTGTTTAAAAAAAAAAAGGTAATGAGAAATTTTTTGTATTGCAAACCTAAGAGGCTAGCAATTAATTCTAATTTCTCTCACCCTTCCCTTCTTCAAATATTACAACTATCTAAACAAAACTCACCAAAAGTCCCAAGTTACCCACTAAACCAAAAAAACTAACAAAAAGATCCAAGAGTTAATAGAAGAAACAGGCAGAGCTATTCGTTACTGACATAACACAAACATCCTTACTTAAAAGCATCCAGTGATGTTTCTTCACCAATGGGGAATGTATTTCTAGGAATGTGCTCATTTTAACAAAATTCCCTTATAAATCAGATGTTTCAAAGAGCCAGAGGTGAAGACTTTTACCTTCATTTAGTTAGCATTAAACAAGATCTGTTTCAAATTAGTTTTTGTTTAAACAAACTGTAACATTGTTCCTGATTTTCATCTCTAGATATAGTACCAGGCTTAGAGCAGTTGAATACAATGTGTGCATAATAACACAGTAGACAATGATTTCGTGTACTTATTGTATCAATACTCAGGCTCTGGAATTAAATCCACATAATTTACAACCCCTGAAAGATGTGTTTAAAGGTATATGAAGAAGCGAATATTCCACCAAACTCTGCACATTCATAGTCTGGAGAATTTTAGAACAAAATTAACTACTTCGATCATTAATCAGAACAGAAATTGTTTAAAAACATACTCTGAAGTAAAATCAAAGAAACTAATCCTGATCATAGGACTATATCATGAAACAATTTCACCAGAGGTCCAAGGTTCAACTTCCTTTACTACTGGGAAAGTACAAAGTTCAAATTCAAGTAAACTTTTCTCTTTGCATAAAAATGACAGCGTTGTAATTCAGAAACAGGGGACCAGCTGGCTCAAGCAATAGGTGGAACTAAAGATTCTCCTAGAAGCAGGAAAGTACTGACTACTAAGTACTACATTAATACTAAATATGAATAAGAATTCAATAAGAAATTCCCCAACTTTCCCAGGAAAAGCCAATGAGAAACCATATTTTAAAAAATTACTTTTAAATCTCCATTACAGATTATAATAGAAGAAAGGGGAAAAAAAATAAACAAACCCCAAATCAAAGCTAAAGTCAGTCACTGCCAGAAAGAACCTTTGGCAAGTCATCTGGGTGACGGTGCTGTCTTTGGCTGGGCTCCTCTTAGCATCTACTAGAAGGAAAGGAGAAAGCTAGGAAGAATCTGCGCTGCCGCAGCCATATCCTACCGTCCAGCTCTTCCTTCCACCATGGACTCTGTCAGAAGATAATATGAGATCATTCCTTGCTAATACTACATCTTATAGAAAGTTAAATTTACTCCTGCACTGTGCTAGTTTCTAAATGATATGTTATGAATATGGATTAATAAAGAGTTACTAATCAAGACAAGAGACAGAGTGCTAAGTACACTTTAAAATACCTTATTAAATGGAAAAATCCATTTCTCTCACAAAGTCTACATAAAAGGGGGAAAAAAACCCCAATGTGCAGGACAAATTCCTTTTTAAATTCCCTTAACTCTGTATTTTCATACTTTTCAAAATTAATCCCAACAGTAAAAAATCTTTGTCTCCTCTAGAGATAAAATCACATCCAAAGTTCTACAAATAACCTCTTCAAGTTCTTAATTTCTAATATTTAAAGTCTTGCGCTTAAACTGCAAAAATCTTGCTATTTCATAACAAATGTTTAAGCAAAGCCATTTAAGAAAGCCATTTAATATAATGCCTAACATGAGGCTATTAAGAAACTAAGAATACTATTTTTTTAAGAGATTAAAAATTTTAAATTACAACTTGCTTAGAAACAAGAATACCAATCTCAGATGACACATAATGGTATCCTTTAGAAATTACTGAAGCAGAGTGTATCTTTAAAAAATAGGTGTAGTATGCAGAACTTTTATTATTGATAATTACAAAATGTGCTACACCCATTAATATAAATTATTCCCTTTATTTTGGCTAAACATTTCAAATAGGACAGCATCTGTGGTTGTCAAGAGGGCAAAATTTTATTACTATAAAAATGTCAACTACATTCTGGTGCATATGATGTTTATTCAAGACAATTATTTATATTACTGGATACACACTAAATTTCTAATTATCTTCTTAAATTTGATATAAAGGTTGAGAAAATGTATAACATGCAGACCAGACTAATATCAAAGATACATGTCCCCAGTCTTCTAAAAGAATCATAATAATTTGAGAATATACCAACTTCCTCAATCTACCAACTTTTAAACTATCTTTGAAAATGCCAGTTATACTCTCATCTATGCCCCAACTAATCAAAACAAAACACAAAGCAATGATGCAGATGTTCTCCTTAATCTCTGACTCATGGGATTTCAACTAAATGGCACCTAGACCAGTAAGTGCTGTATATTTCATATTTGGCATATTACAGACAATGCCTGACTGGCTAAATTACAGCCCAAAAGCCTTTCCTCTATCCTTCATATTTGGCTCTAAAAGTTTGAGTTAAGAAAGAATTTTTGAATTCATAACACTACACAGAAAAAGATATTTTAAGTCTGCTAAAGTTTTTTATATTAACAACAATAAAAAGAAAACCTCACATAAACCCATAAGCTTAAAATGAATATGATGGAATAGACCACGTGAAGAAAATCTTAATTTAAGATTGCAGGGACATGTGGGGGTGTGTGTGTATATATATACACCCACAATCTACACACATGTATATTGCACCACAAACCAGTTCAGATTAAGCCCAAGGACTATGAAAGAGATATTCCCAAAGTGAGCTGCTGAGAAAGAAAAAAAAAAATGTGAGGGAGATAACATGTTACATTTTCTCCAGAATTTTCTAGGATTTTGTGGTAAAGGGGTGGACTGATTTCTCTAACCCGTCACAATTAAGCAGCCCATTATATTTTGATGCCTTGTATATTCAGTAGAGCACATTCAGCAAATATAGTGTGATTTCTAATAACATTGTAGTCATAACTCTCCTACAAACATCTCAGAAAATAGAACCACATTCTACCAATGCTGAAACGACCAATACTGCTGCCGATATCAAATACATAAGGGCTATTATTACATACTATCAGGTTTCACTGTACGCAGTCTGATCAATGCTCTGAAACTGGCAAGTATGCCATAAACGTAACATGCGTTGCAGCAGATTTTACTAGCATAAAAGACACCAAGGCAGCAGGGGCCCTTTTTACCCACCACTTCAATAAAATTTTGTAAAATCAAAGATTTACCAAAGCTTTTACTCAGCGAGGCACCTAGGTCTTCCTTCGAAACCCAGACTATTCAACAGCTCGCTGCAAGAACACACCACTCTGCCACATATCACATATTGTACACCATCGGTACCCAGACACTTGAACCACCACGACTGCCAGAGTTAGGCTGTCAGCTCCGAGGTGTTGCTAGTGTGCAAGAAACACTGAAGCAGCTAAGCCCTCCCAGGTACACTAGGTGGTAACCTTGGCACCAAGTGCCTCAATAGTACAGACCTTTTTCCCTATTAGAAAATGCGTAAGGCTGTTCCAAAGAAAATGCTACCATCGCGAGGATCTATTCCACAAAGGAGAGCAGAAAAGGGCTGTTTTTTTCTCTATTCAAAAACTCTGCGGTGGAGACGGAGCTACAAATCTAAGAAATCCAGGTTCTGATCGCAATTCTGTGACAGCCTGCAGAGCAGCCTTGCCAAGCCAGAGCTCAGCTTTCCTATCGGCAAAATGGGAATCACCACCGCCACCCTTCCCCCTCACCAGGGAGTCCGGCACACCCAAGAGGGTTAAGATGACCCAGGACGATAAGAGGTGGGGAGGGGCCGCCGCTCCCAGGACGCCCACCGCCGACCTCCCCCAAACCCCGCGACAGAAAGGCAGGGCCGGCGTACCTGGCTTCACAGTCTTGAGACGGATGGGCTCGCGGAAGTGGCGGATGACAGCCAGGGTGTCCCGGTTGGTGAGCCCGCTGACAGGCGTCCCGTTCACCTCCAGCAGCACATCCCCCGGGCTGGGCGCCTTGCCCGAGACGACGCAGCAGGTGCCCCCGCCGGGCTCGTCGCGGAGCCGCCCCAGGTAGGGGAACTCACCGCGCTCCGCGCCGCCCCGGATCTCGGCGCCCAAGTCGCCCGGGGGCCCTGCCCAGGACACCGCGCACTCCTGCACCTTGCTGAGCCAGTGCTTCTTCTTCTTCAGCGTCTTCGACATCCCGAACCCCGCTGCACCATGGGGGAGACCCCGCGCGGGCGGCGGG